ATAAATTTTGCGAAATACGTCGAAATATTGGAGGAAGGACTCTTGCCACTTTATTTCTTTGGGTTTCGTGGACAAGAACACAACGTTGTTCCAGGAAGATGGAGCACCGTGTCACACTGTTAGAAACACCCAAAAGTGGTAGGAAGAAAATGGTATCCAGAAGTTGCCCTGGCCGAGCCAATCTTCTGACATGAACCTCATCGAAAACCTCTGGGCCATACTCGATCGGCAAGTCATGAAACAACCAAAAAAACCAACTTCGAAGAGCGATCTACTCCAAGTTTTGAAGCAAGATGGGCGAAAATCCCACAAAATCTAAAGTTGACGAGATGATTCTCACGATGCTCCAAAGGATCAACGAACTCCAATAAGCGAAAGGAAGATCTACTAGATATTAATTAAATTATAAATATATCAATTCATGTGAATATGACTGAAAAAAATTTATTTTTTCTGAAAAGGTGGTGTCTATTTACTTTTGACCACGCTGTGTATATTTCTCCTCTTAGAATACTGCCACGGGAATATAAACGTCCCCTTTTAGAGCACTGCCACAAGCACATAAACGCCCTCTTTTAAAGCACTGCCACGAGCACATAAACATCCACTTTTAAAGCACTATGTATATGGATCTTTTGTTACCCTTGAAAAGTGCGATATTATGTAAATATTCTGAGAAACAGATGTGCAGTAAAATAAATAATTTTGCAATTAATTTTTAAAAATCTTAAATGCTGCACATTAATTTTCTAAATAAGTGCACGAATAACTGTAATAATCTGAAAATAATTTCTAAATGTTTTATAATGAGAAGTAATAAGTAAAATATAAGTAAATATGCAACACTATACACGTTTCTCGGTGCATCTAAAAATAAACGTAGCACTTGGAAAGTTACCTATAAACATGGCAGTGAAGATTCTTGTAAGAGACAGTATTGAGTTTTTTTTTTTTTAATGACATCGCTATTTTTTTCACATACGGTGGTTCCACCATATCTATCAGTAAACACTCATTAATACACTAAAACAAATGCTGTATCCATAACACATTTGAATGAATTAGTGTGAACGGAAAGTAAGAAACTTTAGTATAAACCAGGAACACTTGGAATCTACAACCACTTACTCAATAAAATAATTTATTACTTGCTAAATTTGGCTCATAGCAAATGAAGTACACATTAATAGCTAGGCGATATTTTGTGACAATATAAAGATACAATAGAGATACATTTTTTTTAATAGCTGTGAATAGTTTAATGACGATGAAAGTATATCCTACGACATTTAACAACAATGCTGTCTCTGTGACTTCTTAACCCTTTGATTACCAACATGGGTAGATTACATAGCCACAGTTTTTGTATTAGGTCACGTTTTTTACTACCATACGTGAATAAAAACACAGATAAATCATATTGGCCACAAAGAACTGTTTGATATCTTAATTTCATAAAATGAGGTTTAACCTCCTTATGTGTTGTGTAATATACAATGTATATATATTGCTTTACTGCCACTACAAGGTTTTTTTTTTTCATTTACATTTAGTGTCTGATACTGTAATAAGTTATTAGATGATATTTTGAATAATTGTTTAGTGTAGATTAAAGTTTAACTAAGATCCCTAGTTTTACGTTTTTGTAAATTTTTCTTTGAAGATTATTTGTTGCACTGTCATTCCACTTCTGGGATTTTTATTCAATTACAAATCCAATACATCAGGCTCCAAAGAGCCACTTTTTATAAGAATATATTATCTTGCCTCATCACCTACTAGAGGTTTTGATTTCTGTTTTAAAGATTAGGTCAGTGGTTGGCAACCTATGATCATGGGTCACAAGTGACCCACGGCAATGATTTGGCTGACCCACCAAAAATTGGCTTCACCCATGCAACCCATGAGGGCACAATCATTGCTCATTTCAAATTTTTTGGCTATGTGAGAAGAACAAATATATTAAAGGAAGGAGGGGAAAGAGTCATGGCAAAATCAGTCAAGAACTGTTTATGTTTTGTTTTAAATGTATTTGGTGACTGAATCATGTTGTTTGTTTTATGAAAATAATTAATTTTGTTTATTGTATATAAATAAACATACACATTTAAATATATTAAAGGAAGGAGGGGAAAGAGTCATGGCAAAATCAGTCAAGAACTGTTTATGTCTTTGTTTTTAAATGTATTTGGTGACTGAATCATGTTGTTTGTTTTTTGAAAATAATTAATTTTGTTTATTGTATATAAACAAACATACACATTTAAATACATGTACCGGTATTAAGAATTATATAACTATCATTGACCCAACACAATGCTAAATTTTTCAAAAATAAAAATAAAATTGATCCACAATCATAAAAGGTTGCCGACCACTGGATTAGGTGTCACTTTAAAGTTTTCTTATTTTTCTTTGCAAGATGTAAACCAATCATGTAGTTTTATAGTTTGTGTTGATAGTTGTTTTCTAAAACATGTCCCTGGAAAGTATAACAAAATCACGTTCACAGTAATATTACAAATATGAAACACTACATATTGAATAATTTCATTTCTAAACTATAGTACTGAGAAATATTATGCAGAATAATGACTGGATACCTTAGCCTTAAAGACACAAACTTTGGAAACAGCCAAATTTTAGGATACAAACATACAGAATTCAGAGATAAATAGAATTAGCTAAGTGGGAAAAAACTTCTCTCAGTACTGACAGGCTGTAGTTTTTTGGTGTTGTTCTGCATCAAGTTGTTATATCATTGATTCATTCAAATTGATAAAAAACACAATCATATACTGGGATCCAAAACTACCTTTTATGAATGCATACAGTTAGATCTCTTTTTAATTTACATTTAGCTTATTTAAGTAGTTGCAAATCTGTGCTATTCCTGAAAGAGTTTGCTAACTAAAACAACAATATCCCCCAAAAAGCCTCTTAAAAACTTGTGAGTAGCTTAAAACTTTATAAAAGTAAAAATGGCAATTTAAGTTCATATTGTCATGACTTCAAAATTAAAATTCTAAGCACTGCATAAATTAATATTGTTATTTCTGGTGCATGAAATAAAACATGAAAAATAGCATTTTCTTATAGTAAATAAGCTTTAGAAAGAAAAAATGTTACTAATTCAGTTTTGGATGAATTGTGTATAAAATACAAGGTACTCAAATAGAGAGGAAAATAAATATAACACATTAAAGATTGAAAAACTACCCCAAATTCGAGAAAAACCAAAAAATGGATGCAATATCTAAATTACCAGGTTATATAAATATGAAATTGCCTTCTTTAAACTGCATTTTTAATAGATTTTATATTTAATTAATCTTTGTTATTCATAAGATTACTCATGATGAATGAATTTAGGTATAACATTTTAAGATAACAGTCCTAACCACATGACCACTTTTAAAGAATAAAACTGCTTCAAACTGACACCCATTTTCTACTTTGTTTTTTAGTTTTAAGCAATATTCATTCAAAGCTTTTAACTATGTGATCTGTATTACACATTTTGTAGCCAAACACCTACTTCTTAAGGCACTTTCATCAAACAAACCAGGAAATTAAATAAGTGTTAAAAAGCTCTATCAGAATAACAAAAGAAATTAACAAGCTAAAGTTACTAAAAAGATTTTACATCATAAAACTGGATCCTATACATGAGGTGAGGTAAACTTGGTTGAAAGTTGTCCTGCCAATGTACAGGATCGACAACAGTATTTGCCATAATGAGGATTCATACAATAATTGGCTTGGACTATTGTTTTACAGCCAACAAATTGGGGCCAGTCAACACAATCTGGAGGTATGTAGACATCTGGAAGAAAAAAAAAGTTAAAATTCAGATGATTTGTTACAATTTGGGAGTTTTGTTTTTAGTGACTGATTTAATAAACTTAAGAGTGTGTATCTGTTATGTATATTTCTAAATCCTTAATTTCTTAATGGATTTAGTCAGTTTAATATGCGTAAAAAGTTAAACTACAATGTAGTAAAGCAAAAAATGTTATACATTAGGTGGTAAATCAAATAATGAGTTACTTATTCAAAGGACAATGAATATTTCAGAGGGTAACAGCTGACTGCATTTATTTACTTGTACATTCTTATTATAAAAGCATTAATACATTATTTAAACTTATTGTTAATAATGCATTTAAAATGAGAGAGAATGTGAACTTCACTCAAAGTTATCAGTCTTTCTTGAGGTAGATATTTTAAAGACCTGTTGAACGTAAGAATATTTCATCTATTAGAACATGTTATATTGATTTATTTGGTTTTGGTAGTACATCCACACATCCTAATATATTTTGTTATCCAGCTAGAACTGGATGAAATAAATAAATCATTCAATATGTTGATAAAACAACTGATTTAGGTAATTAATGTAAAAAAAATGCATGTGCATGTTTCTGTACTTAAGCAAAAAATAACTTCTATATGTATATATATTAGGTCATAAAGAAATTAATGTCACGTTTTGGAACACTTTCATTAATCACCCCCAAAAAAACATACATCACATATAATAGTTAAAGGAACTGCCTAAATGTCACGTTAGTGTAGCCTATATAATGTGTAAAGTTTAATACACTCTAATCCCTTACAGTGATAGCACACACAGTTGGCATGTAATGCTGTTTGAATACAAGAAGGGAAACAATGCATCTGTAGCCACAAAGAATATCAAAGAAGTTTATGGAAATGTTTTGAATGTTCGTAAGTGTCAACAATTGTTCAGCAAATTTCATTCATGTGACTTTAGCTTTAAAAACTGTGATGGCAGGGGCCTACATGTTGGAATTGACATTGATGCTCTGTCAATGC